CTTAATGGAAATTGGGATGGTATATTTTGGAAGAAGATGAGGGATGTGAAAAATTCAGAAGCTCTTAAATAAGTACTTCCAAAGTTTTGGAATTAAATGGGAATTTGAGAATTGGTAGGAATATTATGAATGTGTATGAATACTTATTTTAGTTAGTTCTGGCGGGTAGCATAGTCCAGTAGAATTAATAAAGCATGTGACTTACTGGCAAGAGTTCTTGTTTATGTGACTCTGGGAGTAGTATACTCCCATGGGAGCAGTATACCCTTAGTTTACTGTAAAATGAAGAACATTAATTAGACTCCTGCTTATGTGAGTGGGTATTATTCCAGCTGTTGAGAGTTAGGGGTGGGACTTGATGGAGAATGTGACACATGTGGTGGAGTTCTGTGTTTCAGAAGTCATATATTAGAAAGCATGGATTTTCTTTTTTCCTCTGAAACTTACTGATTTGTGAGGCTGGTTAAATCACTAAATTTATCTTTTGTATATGCTTATATAGATACTTTCACTAATATGCATTATATGAGAGTTTGTATGTGTGTGTATATGTACAACACAGTTACCATGCTTGTTTTTTCTAACATCATTAATCTTTTTGGCCTGTAATAAGTGAGAATATAAATTAAAATCTAAAAATAAAGTGCAGTACAGAAAAAGAGGATAAAAAAATATTTCTGGTTTCCATTAAGGTGTTCTTGCATTCAGTGTTTGTTATTGATACAGTTTTGTTTCCACTGCTCCATCATTTCAGTATTGTAATTGTGCCTGATCTGCCTACAAATGCTAACCTAAGATGCAAAAGGGAATTTAGCAGTGGTCGATTATAAAAATATTTTTATAAGGAATGTGAAGCATGCTAGTTTTGATTTATCAAAAATCACTTGTGTCAACCTCTCTTCTAAAGCTGAAGTGCATTAATAGCCTTCTACCACTTGAGTGGTGATGTGAAGATCTGTATGTGGCTTTTAAAATTGCTACCCTTTGCAGAGTTTCAGATTTCATCCTGGTAGCTTGGATGTGGGCTGAATGCCATTACGATTTGCTATGTTAGGGATTTACTGGTACTATTAGGTAACGCTGGAGAACACATTAGATACTGCATTGCGCAAAATGGCTCTCTTGTGTTTCTCTGGGGTGAAAGATGACTTCAATTATTAACGTCATTAGACAAATGTAATTTTTTTTTTTTTTTTTAATACTTGCTGTAAGTAGACAATTCAGACTCTCTGAGCTAGTGGTTATGGAACTTTCAGAGCCAGATAGCAGGTCATGGTAAGCTGTTTTCTCCTGCACCAGCTTTTACGATATGCTTTGTTCCCTGCTTGTTTTGATCAAAAAGTAAGATCTAAAAGTAAGAGTCTAGCTTTTTTAAGAGTTCTATTTTTAATTTCTGGAACACACTGTGCTAGTAAAACCACAACTGAGGTGTTTCTTCATAGATTGGAGAGTGGAGAAGAAAGAGTTTTGTATTTTGCATGGGTCAAAGCACTGCTAATGTGCTTGGATACCATAGTGATGAATACTATAAATATCCAAATATATGAGCCAACAACTGGAAATAAATTTATAAACACTAAATTCTTTCCGTTATCAAAGCAGTAATTGAAACATTCTCTGTTCTCCCGCCTCTGGCTCTGTACTCAAAACTGTGCACATCAGAAAACAAAATGGACATACAAGCTCTGTCTTCTAATTTTTGTGGGGTGCAGAGAGAAGTCACCACCAAACTTTTTGGAAAAAAACATAATTCTGATTGTGTGCAAGCTTGTTAGTTTGTAAACAGTGAACCCCTCTTCTGTTTTAATACTGTCTAGGAGTTAGTGCTTAGAAGACTGGGCAACATTACCGGTAGCAGTCCTTAGAATAACTGCAATTCTTATGTCATATGATGTGCTTTATTTGAACATGAAGACTGTGCTCAGTAATGCTGCAGATTCCGTGGGTACTCAGGCAGGCATGTGGCACTGAACCAACATCCCATTTAGGTGCTAGGTAAACCATGCTGTTGGGAATTAAGATGCCAAACTGATTTTTAGAATTATGGTGATCAAACCCCAAAAGTTTACCAAGGAAGGATTTTGTGTGTGTGTGTGTGTGTGTGCGTTGTCATCAGTTTCTTTTGAATGCTTTAGCATCTTGAATGGCTACAGAAATTATCTCAAGTACACCAGTTGGAGCTTGGTTACCATTCTGTTCTCTACAGTGGATCAGGTCTTTTAATCTGAGACTGCTTATATCTTTTGTAGCAAGTGTTTTGTTTCATACCAGGGAGGATGGATTTGGTGGACCAAATGATACCTGACGTGTATACAAGTTGGCAAAGGAACTTCTGGTCTTTGTGGATGAGCAACATTCTTTATAAGCATTTATTATAATTAATGACTTCTGATTTAATGACTAATAACTAATTTTCTTGCTCTTACGATTTAGTTGGATTTGTCGCTTTCATTTAACTAGTGTGCTAATTCATAAAATTTTCTAAATCATGGTAATGTCAGGGCACTAAACTCGTATCTTCTCTCTGGCATAGGCAGTGAGGGAAGAAACAATAACTTTTTTAGAAAGCAATTGCCAGTGAAAGAATGGAGAAGTAATAAATTACTGTTAATGTTGGGTTTGTGGTTTGTTTTTTTTTTTCTTTAAAGAAATTACTTGCAAAGCTGAAAGTTTTCATTAGGAAAAGCTGGAATAAAAAATTTTATGCATTTCTCGCCTAATTTGGTATCTGTTTGTTTAAGCATGGGTTATAGTTATATATATAGTAAAATCAAATCTTTCAGCCAGCCTTTTCAAAGGACACAAATGGCCTTCAATTTTCAGAATATTTCTAAAAAAGTGATGTACAGGTTCAGATGAATAGTATATAACTATCATTACCTGCTAGGAGTCTGTCTGTAAAGTAAAGAAATGCTGGTAAGCATTAAGGTCTGCATATATATTCCAGGGAAACTTCAGAGTAATATTATTTAGATGGTAAAATGCATGCTTTTTTTTTTTTCTTCAGCCTTTAAAATTATCTTTTGTGGCTTCTTTGATGGTGGACATAGTTCCCCTCTGGATGGGAGGCTTGTTCTTTGCAGTAAAGAAATCCTCCTAAGAGTGTGAAATTCAGTTCTAAATATAGCTTCTGAATTAACATTGCTAATTTTAACAGTGTATTATTCGCATTTGCTCAAACTATCAACTGTCCTCCAAAAAAAGCAAAATTAAGCCCTCAGAGTGTGTGTGGGGAAGGTGGAAGTCTTGAAGGGATGGTTAATTATGGGCGTTAAAATGTAGAACCCTCTCCTTTGTTTTATGCTATAAAGAAATTGTGTATTAGAAATGGAGCAACATTCAGTTATTGTCAGACTTCACAGATGTGTCTGAAAAAAGAAAATACTAGAAGCTAAGGGTCAAAATGGTGAAAGCCAGATGATGCAGGAAAAAGGTGCAAGAAAACTGACGTTTTTCCACATCTGTTTATTGTATTGTAATCAGTTTTGTAGGATGGAATTCAGTAACTTTTCTGTATTTTCTTCTTGCTGCTGTTGCTTTCAGAAATGTTTCAGATAGTAACAGGAATGTCAAATTCCTTTGCAAGTATCAAGTTTTTGGTCGCTATAGGAAAATGCTGAGATTTCCAGGTGGGTCTTACCCTTCTTCCCACCCCAGTTTATTCCTTTGTGTTTTGCTTGCATTTGCGAAGTTTAAAATCTGTACATTATACCAAGGTAGCCAGTATTGCTCAGTGTAGAGAGCAGTGGGAGGAAGCAGGTAAGGTTTGCTAGGTTGTTGTAACACTTGCCTCCTGTCCTTCATTTGGGAAATAAGGATAATGATGCTTAGTTTTGGAGTATAAAAAGTGACTTCTGTAGAATATAGAACTATGCTCAAATTCAATTTCAGGTTAATCCTTTGTGACCTGAGCTGGGTTCCAGATGGTGACCTACATGTGGAATAGGCTGTTGATTTGTTATCAAAGACCTAAAGTGTCCAAGAAGCTTTAATGGGAGGAGAGAGTCTTGTAAATGAAGGATAGAGTAACAAAGCTAGGAATGTAAAAGTTAGAGAGCAAGATCTACTTCTGCAATATTGTATTTTGTTCTGTGTATTTATTTTACAGGTTTCTTTGTCTTTTTAAAAATACCTTGTTTTTTCCCAAATCCTGGTAAGTAAGTACATAGAGCATGACTGCTAGGTCCTCAGCAGACCTATTCCAGTTGAATATAAGCTATTGTTAACATTGTTCTGCTACCGTTTGGGAATCGGCATCTGAAGGGGAGAGACTTCCCCAGTGAGCTAAATTATTCTTGAGGCAGCAGTTGAATTTTTGGGATTCCTGGAAATGATTTCTGGCCCTTGGAAGGGATTAGTGCTTGATGCAGGTGTTCCCAAAGTGTATCAAGTAAATTGCTTGTGGTACATTAACCATTCCCAAGTGGTATGTGGCAGTGCTGCGGCAAGCTGGCTGTGTTTGGCAACCTGACCTGACCTTTGTCTAAAGCAGGAAGAAGGAGATAGAGGCAGTCTTGCTATGAAGCAGCGTGAAAGCTGTCAAGCAGTATTCGCCTGCCTTGCTGGACCCATGGCAGCCTCACTGCTGTGGCTACTTACAGTACCTGCTTCTGCCTGTGAAAGGATTTGTTTTTATCATCTGGGTAAGAGCTCATACACATGCGCTCTTATGGTACAGAAGCCTGTGTGCTGCTTGGAAGGGTCATCCATTAAAGGGATATCAAGCACTGGAACAGGCTGCCCAAGGAAGTGGTTGAGTCACGATCCCTGCAGGTGTTTAAAAGATGTGTAGATGTGGTGCGTAGAGACGTGGTTTAGTAGTGGACTTGATAGTGCTAGGTTAATAGGTGGACTCGATCTTAAGGGTCTTCCCCAGCCTAATTGATTTTTATTCTATGATTTATGAGTTTGGGCTGGGGCTTCCAAACTGAGAATGCAGAGGTAAACTAGGAGGTTGACTACTGTGTGTAAGGCTCGACTGGGGAAAATCAGTATAGGACATGGGGTTGGAGTACGAGACCGAGAGAGAAAATGAAGGTGAAGGTATGTCCTCTCTTCCGCACTTGTGTAGCCTGGCTTAAAGCTGGAAGCTGCTGCTTCTGTTAGAGCTATTCTTGGTGCGCTGTGAACCAAGATAAGAGATCCACTGCTTAATGGTGAGATGAACGGGTACCAGATGAATCTAAATATGGTATATTTAAGTTAAAGACCATGTTAATGGCAGCAGGGATTAAACTTTCATTAATGGATAATGATCTCAAAAATGTAGCCAGGAACTCAAGTCTCCTTGGAAGCTGAAAGTGGGATTTAACCTTCTTGACATCAAATTGTAGGCTCTTTTCTGCCTATACTTAGGAATAAAATGTAAGGGAATGGATTAACATACACCTTGGTCAACAACAAAGTTTTAACTGCATGGAGTGATAGTGCGCTGTGGGAACCCTGAGGTTTTGCTCTGATCCCTTGGGTTAGAGGGAGTCTCTCTTCTTAGATCTCCTCATGTGAGTCTCTCCTCACATGCACAGTCTTTTCCCTTTGTGTCTTAGGTGAGGTGGTTTTGCTGCTGAAAGGCGTCAGCCTAGCTAATTGGGAATGCTGATATGTTGGAGATGGCACCTGGAGTAAGTCAGAGAGTTGGAATGATAAACATAAGTTTCCTTTGGAGCCTGAGAAAGTACAGCTTCTGTCTGTCTTGGTATAGGAATGTGGAGGGGTAGGTACGTCCTGACTACTGGATGTTCTCTTACAGAAAACAAAAATATCTAGGATGTTTCCCCTCTGGTAAGGCAGGGGTGGATTTCTGTTCTGATGGGTCAAGTTACTCCAATTTTTTTTTAATCCTCCCTAGCTGGGGATGAAGAAGTAATATCGGCAAGAGGGAGTATCCTGTGGCTGTTAAGTAGATGGTATTTGTGTCATGGGTGTCTTGCAGATTCAGAAAGGAAGGAGGACAGATATATTCTGACATCCATGGCATTTTTTTTTCCTTTACCCGTTACTTTTAATGAAGGTCCTAGGGGGATATTTGATTTCTGCATGTCTTCACTGTTAAGTGCTTGTTGTTAGAAAATGGATTTGGAAGTTGTAGATAGCCTTCATAGAAAGGCAAATGCAAGTTAAGATTTAGACTTTTAAAAAAAGAAACAGCCAACCACAAAGGAAAAAAAAAAGAATCCATATAGCAGTGTAAGTTTTCACTCATACTTTTATTTCAACAAAATGAAGTTGCGTGATTATGTGACTGCTGTTCTGGAATATTGCTTTATCCTCTTATCGGGAGAGTGAGGGGCAAAAATAGAACCTGTTAATCTAAAAATTGTTCTACTTAGTTATATAACTATTTCTTAAAAATAGCTCCAGATTGCTGGAAAAGATAGATGCTACAGGGTACAAAATTTCTCTTTTGTTCAGTTTCTGCTCTTTTACATGGAGCATCCACGCTTTATACATAATATTTTTTACTATTTTGTGGTGGCCAGTTGCATGTTACTCCCATGTACTCATACAGCAGTGTATGAACATCCTGTAGCACAGTTCTCTATTAGATACTGTATATGTACAGCAGTTATCATAGCACCTAAGCTGGATGCTGAGGAGCTGGGAGACAGAGAGGTACACAAAGAGAAAGCACTGAGGGTGGGGTCTCTCTTTGTGTGTGTGGCAGTTACTGCTGAGAAACTTTAACTTTGACAATGATTGTTCAGAGCATGCTTTATTATGTTGTGTTTCTAGAAACAGCAATTATATTTGGCTGTGCGTATGTGACATCCTTGGGGTAAGAAGGCAAAATGCATAAATCAAAAGGTTTATTGTGTTCTGGCAAAACTAGTTCATTCTTTTAAGACATACTTCTATCTTAACATGCTCTGTTTTCTCATCTAAAGAGATTTTATGTAAGTTACGTTATCCTTTGTCTTTGTAGATTAATGTAGCAGACAAATCTGATTCAGAAACCCAGTTTTCATTTTGGATGGCCATTGCAAGCATGGACCAGTAGTAGCTATTTATAACTTGTTTCCAGTGACTGATAAGGAGTAAAAATTGGGCTGTTTGGCTTACCTGCCATTTACTTTAGACTCTGATCAGATACAGTCTGTGAAATCTCTTCTGCTTTGGTTAAACACCCCATAGTATTGTGTTTGCCTCATGTGCTTTTAATGGTTCTGTATTTTCACATTTCTCTAACATTGGAATAATTGAGTACAGTAAGGAAAACAAGAGTAGAGTCTTGCAATAGTTGACTCTGCTGTAATTATTTCTTTTTGTTGAATAATCTTTTCCTGTAAAACATATTTCACCTGCTGCTTTTGAAGTGTGTGCTACTTTGTTAAAGCTGTCCTTGTTGCACAGGGCTGATACCTGACTTCATTTTGGAGTGGCAGCATCCCACCTCTATATAGTGCTACTCTTCTTTACAGTCCCTGGCTAAATCATCTTCTTAATACGGGCTTCATGTGAGCGAGCTAATTTGACTCTTGAGCTGGCTCAAGAGTAGGAAGTTACTAAATTTGTTTGAAGATGTTTTTCTTCTGGAGTTGTGGATTCCCCATCTGAATATCATTAACCTAGATATTGCTAGGCAAATTGTCACTTCACAGAAATATTAGTAGGTAGTACTATTTTGTATTAAATCTTAAAATATCAATTAATTAAGATCCCTTAAGCAGGATGGCTATACTTGGTGTCTATGTGATATGTTGGGGGCTTGGGGATTTTATTTTCTTATTTTTTCTGTTTGCATGTATATACCTAGTGCATGTTAAAGCCCAAGTTTTATCACAGCAAATCTCAGGAGTTTTACTGTACTACTCATGTGTTTGCTTTCTTTTTGTGGAGTTTGTATTTGTTTTCCCCTATCAAAAACTGTTGCACTGGCTTCATACAGTGTCCCTGAAGTCAACTGTTGCAAAGCACAAAATGGTGTTAGAAGTTTTTGTTAAGCTTTATTTGTTGAAATACACTGTAAAATTTTTATTATTTGAGACATGATAATTGATATTACCAAACAGCTAGTTTAAAGGAACATTATTTTTTTAAGCAGAACGTGGATCATTTTACCTGGTATCTTCTTGCACCAAAAACAAAAAACAAAAAACAAACAAACAAAACAAAAAAAACCCACAAAACCAAACAAACAAAAAAACCCAACCAGCTATAGATTTTAAGGGAATGTGTCTTAATTTTTAATGAGTAGTTTGGATGACAGGATGTTCTACCGAATGTCTTTTAACTTTGGCTAATATTGGGAACTTTAACCTCAAACTTGACTACAGTAGAACATAGGAGAAAACTAACACTTTCTACTGAGCTTGTCTCTTTTCGTCCCTGCCTAGTGGTTTTTAAGCTGATAATGTATGATCTTCAAAAAAAGCAAATGTGTAATCTGCATTGTCTGCTTCATTTTGGCACTCATTCTGATTTGATCATCCATGTGCAATTCTGTGGGAAGATATTCAGATCGCCTCTTGTCATCTAACTTAAGTAATGGAATTAGGAATTTTGTCTCTTGCAATGGCCACTGGAATGCAGAGATTGGTTTGTAGTGCTAAGGTGAGATTGTATGAAGATGCTGTCCTTCCATGTGGTCCACTGTATCATTTAAATGCTTGTCCATGTTGCTGGAATCTAGCAACTTCAATAATGAGTTTTTTGCCATGTCAGAAGGTGTGGTGGAAAATTGATATTGATGTACAGTGATGACTTCTCAAGTATGGGACAGCACTTTTTAAATAAATCAAAGCTGGAGAGTGTCTGCTGTGTCCTAATGAGAGTTGGTCAAAGAACAGACTTCTGAAAGAGTATTTCAGTACCCTAACTACTATAACCGAATACGGTCGAAGTAGTAACTTTTATAGGGCATGTTCCTTGTCAAGATGATATTGATATGGGACATATGAGTAAATAGCTTTCATTATGGGTAAATAATTTTCTTTTGGTTAATGACAAAATATAACTTTCTCCAGTGACAATCAATTTCTGTGTTAAGCTTCATTAACCAAACTTTAGAACATACACATTTTCCACTCTTCCTCTTCTAAAAGTTGAGAGTGTTACCCTCACTTTTTATGCTAAGTAGGATTGTTGCTATCTTATCACCTCTCTGGAAAACAAGGGAGAAGGTGAGGGTTGTGGAAATGAGTGAGATGTCGCAGGTGGAAAAAAGGAAGTTATTAACTGTAAAGGAGGATAATGAAGGTAATACCAAATGGCCAGTTCATAAGAAGTTAGATGGGATATGTTAGGCAAGCCTCTGTTAAGAGTATTTTCATAGGTACATAGTATTCCTTTTGTTCATAAGGATGTCTGAGAAACTGTTTACCATTTGCTGGTACTCAGTGTTACCTCTGCATTTCCTTACATGGGTAAGTGTGTATGCTACCCCGGTACTTCTGTGTGCAGCTTTCACTCTCGCCAACACTGCTTCCTGTTCCATTTACTAAACCCCCTTTAAACTCCTCTTGCAGTATTTTTTGATTTCTGTAGGTTGTAGGAGGCCCGTGAGGCTTACCTACCATTTATTCCTTCTTCCATCTCTCTACAGTAACATTGCTTATGTAGTAGCTTTATCGGTGTATCATCACACATCTTACTCTGAGATGATGCTGTTTGAAAGGAAGTAATAAAAGCAACAAAATTGCTTCAGTTTTTGAAGATTCTCTCTTGACTGCAACCTCTTAAGTTTAGATTTGTATTATTCAGGGTTGTACTGTTCATATTCTTTGAGAATTATATAGACTTTAAATTACCTCAACTTCTAAAACTAGCAAATTTGTAGGTACAACTTGTGTTCTTTTGGTATGCAACACAGTAGACTACAGAAAAATGTACAAGAATTAGTTTGTAATAAAGTAGAATTGACTCAGAGTTTGCTATCCACTTCTTATGTAAAACAGTTCTGATTGACGTTGCCAGTACGGTTAACTGGTGATGCTGGAAGCCAGCAAACTTGCTTCTTTTTTCCAAATAACATTAATTGAACTCGCTTCTGGACACTTCATGACAGTGTTTGCTTTGAAGGCATAGATGTGACACAGCCAATTCAG